TGCCCTGTAACACCACACTAGCCAGCACCGCCATGGTCTTCAGAGCTGCCCTGTAACACCACACTAGCCAGCACCGCCATGGTCTTCAGAGCTGCATTCTTTTCACTTTGCTTATCAGATATTTTCCTGAAACACTGGATTTGTTTTCATAATACTTAAGGAAAGGACTGTCTTACTAGAAACATTTGTGATCCATTCAAAGCTTATTCTTTAAAAGACAAGGTCTGGCTGTTATCCAGGCTTGAGGGCAGTGGCAAGATCATAGCTCACTGTAGCCTTGATCTTCTAGTCTCAAGTGATCCATCTCAGCCTCTGGAACAGCTGGGAGTACAGGCGTGCGCTGCCGCACCCAGGGAGACTTTCTTCTTTACTTGTATACTCCAGTGATTCTATTCTTGCACACAGTTCCGGTGGAGCACATGTATTAAAAAAATGGTGACCTAGAATGAATTCCATTCTTGTGGAAATTCTCAGTGTTGCCAGAGGGTTTTGACACTGCTTGTACATTCCAGACACCATTACTTCAGGTGTTCCTTCCAACTCTGATAGGGTGGGGCCGTGTAGAGTTATCTCTGGAGATGGAAAGGAAATCCAGCTTGTAGGCATCACCACACGATTTCAGACTTTTAGAGTAAGGATCGTTATCCTCAACATCATCAGCTCCCTGTTTAATCCCTGACCTACCTGTAGGGATTTCATTGAGCTATTTAAATTATTTCCTAGTAGTGTGTTTTCAGATGTACAGTAAGCTGACACTGGTATTTTTAAACTTCATGCCTCAAAATCATCTGCTTTTTAATCATCTTTCAATATGCACATGTGTTTGTACTTAAGCAAACTTTGAGATACTATCTGTAGAGCAGACCTTTTCCCTTCATGTGCAACAGGTGGAATCAGTGCTGCTAGGGGGTATTTAAGGTTCTATAGAATCCTGGAAGTGCGGAAGAGTTTCATAAATGTGGAATAAGATTTGCAAAGTATTCAAAATGCTGCCCTTCCATAGACACTTGAAGAAAAGTGAAGATAATTACGGAATAAATGGACCTTGTGGGTAGAGTACAATGCATCCGTGTATTCAGTGGGGACAAGGTGTTTATTTAACCAGTGTACAAGTATGACTGATTTGATTAACCTTTCAATTAGTGGTTTTTCTTTTTTTCTCTTAAAAATCTGCCAAGAAATAATCCTTAAAAACTCCGGGAGCTGTCTAAAGCCAACTGGCTGGTGCAGCTGTTAAACACTGATCTGGTGGCTAAGACGGGCTTCCATGTAACCATAAAAATAAAAAGACTTCAAGTAAATGTTTTTAAGAATAAATGATTAGACAGAAAAGTTAGTTCTCAGAAGAAAAGAAATTCTCTTTTGATTAATCCTGAGATAAAACTGGCTCAGTGTCACCTAAGTAATAAAATAGAATCCACGTGTGTAATTTTAAAATTTTATTATAGTGGCCACGATGGAAGTTTTTAATGTTTTGTTTTTCTTTGTTTTGTTTTATTTAACCTGTATGTCTAAAATATTGAGGTATTTTAGTCTTATTTCTGGGTGCCAAGTCTTTAAAATCCAGTGTGCCTTTCACACTTAGAGAACACATCTCAATTATGACAAATTTTATTGGATTTTTAGATTTCATTCCATTTACAGTGGAGAAAGTAGATCTACATACCTAAGTTATTTAAAACATAGTTAAATGTTTTCTAATAACAGAGTGTCACTTTTAAAATTAAACTTCATATTGAATAAAATTAAAATTGAAACTTCTCATCCTCCCTGAACTAGGCACATTTTCAGTGCCCAGTGGCCAGGAGGAGCTGTCTTGTTTAAGAAAATAAACAGCTTTCTGTAATGGTGCCGTCTCACCCCGAGTGATGGAGCACCTTGGCATAACGGTGCCGTCTCACCC